AACTACAATTATATATATATATTATTTTAGATTTTATTAAAATAATCTTTTTCAAAATATTTTTATGCATGTATAAATTTTTTTTTTTGGCTTTTTTCTTTAATAGAGTCATTATGAGTGGTTTAATACTATAAATCCAAAATATAACTAACGTGTATTTTCTCATTAAAGAAAAAATAATGAAAAAATATCATATTATAAAACTTTCAAAAAAATAAGTTGGCTATTACTTAAGATTAAATGTGTTAATTAAAAAATATGTCAATTTTAACTTTAAAATTTTATTTTTTAATATAAAAGAAAAAATATATTTTTTAGTTTATTATAATTAAAAGAATACAATAGAAAGTAATATACATATGATCTAGATATAAAGATGTACACGTAAAAAAATATGTGGAGTAAGATATCTTTCACCTTTCATATTCATTATTTTTAAGTAATAGGTACAATGTAGAATGCTTTGTAATTGGTGCTTATAAGATTGTATCTTGATAATTTTATATTTATGCAATTGGTCTTCTTAAGATGTTTATCAACAATTGGTTGATTTTAGATTGCTATTATCAATTTCTAAAAACCATCAATTTTACCTTCTATAACAAGATATACAATTTTTTTTTTTTCATTTCTTAAGTTCAATAATTCTACCAACTATACAATCCTAGCTACCACATTAGTGTTTTTTACTTTAGTTATAATAGACCTTTAATCAGTATTAATTTAATATAATTAAAGTATTTTGATAATAATCATTTATATATTATATATCATTTTTTATTTATTTATTCATTTATATGAGAATTATACTATGATATTTAAAATTCTTCATTAGAATTAAGAATAGAAAAATCTCTTGTAATATAAAAAAAGACTAATAAAATGTAGAAGTAGATACAAGTTAAAATAAAGATTGAATTGTATGAGTCTAGGATAGAATTTTAACTTTATAAACTATGATGAAATAAGACAAAATTTATTTAATAAATAAATTAGTACTCATAAATTAGCTAATATCAAATAATATCATGTTTACTTTGAGATTGATTGAAAAAAAAAAACTATAAATTAAACCATTAAAAAATCAAATTTAAAATACTATTTGATTATATTAGGATAAAATCTAAAATAAAAATGAAAATAAAAATAGTTTATTAAAATACACAAACATATTTAAAAAGTCTATAAGATGGATATTAAAAAAATTATTTATAAAAAAAATTTCAAAATTATATACATTCTTTGAGCACTTTTACATTTAAAGCAACTATAAAATTCTTTTAATAAGTTCGAAAGTACTTTTGACCTAAAATGTGATACTGTTAGAATAAATATATAGACACAACTTTTTTTAATCTAAATTTTTTTTTATCAAGATTTTTTTTTTTAATATCATCTATACTTCTTAAAATATTTTTAACATGGATAAGATAAATCTAGTAATATATTAAAGAAATGGTATTAAAATACAATTTGATAGTAAATTTTATTCAAAAAATTTTATTTAAGAAATATTTTAATAATTATAATTTTATATTATTTATTTGGAAAAAATCCTTAAAATAATATATTTATTATTTTAAACCTTTATATAGTAGAAGGTTTTATAATTCAAATAAAATGAATATAGATGTTATATCAACCTTAGATGTTTATTTAGAATAAAAAAATAATTTTTAATAAGTTAAATAAGACATATTTCTTTTTTGAAAGTTTTTTTTTTATTATTATCTGATATTTTAGATAACACCAATATTTATTAGATTTTTATCTTTGAAAATTTATTCTTACAAAAGAAGAAAAAATTAAAAATTAAAGATGTAAATATAATGGAATTTATAAATAAATAAAATATTATGATTTTTTTAAATCAAAAGATTTTCATCTTTAAATTATAAATAAATAATGTTTAATTGGCTTAATATTTTTTTATTAACTTGATTTAAGCATATGGCATTAGTTGGATTTAAGAGGTAGTATGCATCATTACTATTAATACAATTTTCTTGGCAAAATAATTTTTCATATTTAGCAAGAAGAAAAAGAGGCACTCATTTAACAATGTAGCACAAATGTGATGCATACATTGAGATTATTAGATAAAGATAAAGAATAGAAACCAAACAACATAGAGATAGAGGAATAAAGTTATCAGCATTCTAAGGAGTAATCAAAGCATGTAATACATCCAAGCAAAAAACTCTAGAACATCTAAGACACAACTCAAAGTCCACAGCTCCAACTTACTGTTTACAAATTTTAATATTAAAAACTTGAACGGATACATGTAATGCAATAATAGACATCGTCTCTATAATCTTATCTCTTGATTTTAGAATTTGGATGGACAGCTATCACAAAAAAGAGTTGCAGATATTGGGTAAGGAATTTCAAAGAGACAACAACAACAACAACAACAAAAGTGAGGCTGCACATGAAGAAGTGGCAAACTATGCAATTGTGTATTTTCAAAATAATATAAATTGTGCCTATTTATATGAAGATTCAGATACATATACAAAATGCCTAATATGCAATCAATTATTGGGATTTTTTTAAAAATATATATATATGCAAATATGCATTAAAAATTGAAGATAAAAATTATTGCATACATTGCGTCATTGCCAAAGCTATTAGTAAATTTTACAAAAAATAACCACTCCCTTAATGCCCAATAAAACATTCTAATAAGTTTTAAAAACCTCATTCTTTACCTAGAAAACACCTCCAAAAGTAAGAAAGAATAAAATATTAATGCATTTAAGGATAGAATGTAAGCTTGTAACAAGGATAAAATATCAGAGCCATGGATAGTGTCAGTAATTTTTAACAAAAGTTGCAGCAATGAAAGATGCCAATATAAAAAAAAAGATCAAATAAAGATGTAATAGTAGAAACTACTTGTAATTAATTGTAGAATTGTCAAAAGTTTTGAATAGAAGTAATAATTAAGAAACTATAAGTGTTATAAATACTCTTAGAGGAGCTCTCTTCTTTTTCTCTCTTTTTCTTTCTTTCTTTCTCTTTCTCTAGTTTTTGGAATTTGGATATTTAGCAGTTAGTGTTGTAAACATTAATAGCTAGTTTGTCAAGTTTTTCAAGCATTTTAGCTAGAAAAAACTATGTATTATTTTATACTCAAATGAATAAAAGAGAGATAATTGATTCATTAGGTCTAAGATATTTGAAAATTTAATAATATTGAATAGAAGTATTGTACCAAAGAAAGCATTTACATCTTAGATACATCAATATATCATTGGTATGATTCTATGATGTGTCTCTGACTATCACAATCTATAAGCAAACAATGACATAATTGTAAGAAAGCTGATAAGACTATCAAGGTATATACAAACTGATGAATACTCCACATTGCCAATTCTTTATAAACTCAATATTATTTTGCAGTCTACAATCCATGATAAAATTAAGAGCATCTAAAGAGCAAAGAATGTCATAATGAGACAATAATGATATGAAAATTAACCTTAACTCCTATAGTGTAGAATGTATAATTATGTTAGTTTTTCTCCCACAAGATGCATTACACATAATTTTCAACTTTAGCTTCATCTAATCTATTGCTTCTTCAAGCATACATTGATTATTGTACCAAGATATTAATAATTAACATCCTATTAGGTTTATTAATTTTAAATGTGTATATAAGTAAATTAATATGTCTTCCTTGTCATGCAAATGAATCGATTGAAAGAGCACCAAAGGTTGGCAAAACTGCATGTGAAGCAAGATGAGATACATGTAGCAGAGAAGAAACAAAAGTCATTAAATCCAAGCCATCAAAAGAAAAATTGTTATCTTCTTACAAACCACATAATTTGTTTTATTGACACTCAAGATGATAATTTTGTATATTGGATGATGATAATTGGCGAGACAATTTCATGTCACCAAAATAACAAATGAGAAGTGAATATGCTTATACAAATCCATTGCTTTGGAAAAAATTGTATTTAAGCCAAATAATGATTTATCCTCTTTGTAACCCTAATATGCAAATTATTTAATCAAATCATAGAAGTAATAAACATTATCTAGATGTATAATTTGTTACCATATAAGATTACTTCAATTGGACTTTTATGATAAATCTTAGTAAGACAATTTGAAGCATGACAAGAAAATCTCAAAAGACTAAATAATTAAAAACTTAAAGAAGTTGACATGCACATACCACATCAAGATTGAGAATGTCACAACTATGCAATCCAAATTCTACATAATTATCTTGAAGTCTAAGCTATAAAATTGATGGCAAAAGCTGAAATAAAAATTAATGCATAACAATGAATTAAAGAATGTATTTTAAGGATTTATATTACTAAAGATAATATATTTTTTAACAATTTTTAGGTTTTCTAGTTTTTTTTTTCTTTTTTTTCTTTTTTTTCTTACAAATACATTAAAAATAATTTACATTGATTATTTTTTATTTGATTTTCTTTTAAGCCCATTTCTTTAGATAAATAAATCACAATTGAAAATATTACAAATACACCAATCACTCATAATCAAATATTGATAGTCTTTTGTAAAAAAATATATATATATTTACAATAAATAAAAATTTAGGAATCACATCATATTGGCTACTATTACCTATTTACAACATAGATTATCTCAAGTTTGAGTGATATTTTAATTTGATCACAAAAATAAACATAGTAGTTCAATTTTTTGATGATGGTTTTATAATTTTAATAACTCTTTATGTATTTTTGATAGTAGTAACATATAAATAGGTGAAAAAAATAAATAATCATTTATCTTCATGTTTAAATTTTAATAAAAAGAAAATAATACTACTAGTTATTGCATCATAAATATTATGGAGTCTGAGCTTTTGAATAAATATGGATGCAGGTATAGATACAAGTCAATTTACAGTTTGTTTATAATACAATGAATTCATAATCAGTTATATAAAGAAAATATTAAAATAATAATCATAATAATAATAATAATAATTAATTAATTAATAGTATAGATCATAGTTTTAATCATCGCTCAAAAACATTTATCAAGGTATATTATGTAAAACACTATCAATAATATATAATTTTGTTTTAAAATTTATATTTTTTAAGATGTATTTTTGACACTTCATTTTAATTTTTTTCAATAAAATAACTCCAAGTATGATATTTTTCAAGATCTTAATCCAGTTTTAAATGTAAAACAATCCAATGCTAAACATCTATGAAGAAACACATTTGATTAGATTCTATAATCTTATCTTTATACTTCAATTATATGTATATATGTATTAAAAATTGTTGTATCCAACATCAATTTTGTATTTGTACACATAATAATATGATTAGACAGAAATACTTACAATCAATGAAGGTAAAGAAATTCAAAAAGAAACTCATTAGAATTTCGTTGTAATTATATTTTTTTCTTTTTTCTTTTATTTTCTTTTATTTTCTTCTTCTTTTGTCATGCTGGGACGTAGTTTCAATGGTTCTGGCAAACCTATTGATAACGGCCCTAAATCAAACCTATATCTCAAATATTTTTTCAATTCTTAGTATTATGAGTTTTGTTAGATTCATGGGAATATTTCTTCCCACTAGGTGATGCCAATTTTTTTGTAACTCTTTTATTATTTCCAGGTTTTTTGTGCTTGATGGATTTATAATAAATTTTAACATAAATTAAAAATTTGAATGCTAAATGAACTGATTAATTTGACTTAAAACTGAAATTTATAGATCAGCTGTTTTCAAAAATAATGTTAGAGATGTCATTGTGAACTTACAACTCTACAGTCAATCTTACTAATGTATGAAGAAGAATGTATTATATTCATTTATTTTAAGGTTGAAAGAATTTACTATGTATGTTTGTAAAGTGATTTATTGATACTATTATGCTTATCTTACTTTTTTATTTTGATATCTTATGCAGTATTGACCAAACTTCAAAAAGAAAATAAATAAATTCAAAATGTGTTATTCAACTTTTATAGTTGCAAGTTCATCTTTTGGAGTTTGATCTTTTTTTTTTTACTTTTTCGTTTGGCATCAAATGCAGGTTGTAAGAAATACTATTTGATTTTTTGAAGAAGTTGATAGTACAACATGTAATTACGAAGTTAAACGTAACAGTTTTATACTGTATTTGGCTTGACACTGATTCCAAATCTACACAGTATTGAACCATTCTAAATTCATATGTCTCATGTGTATTTTTGTTGTGTGTTGATGCTTATTGGGTAAATGACATCATTCTTTAGTAACATCATTTATTGTCAAAAACATCTACAATAAGATTTGTGATAACTTATTTTTCCAAAAAGCCTTTCAAATCTAAATGCAACAGGGTTACTTTTCTATTCTTGCCATATTCGATTAAATTCCAAAATATAGTTTATTTCTTCTAAAAAAAGTATTTTGGTAAGATTTGCATAAAGTAAAATTGGAGCCAATTTTAATTTATCGTCCAATTTCCTCATAACCTCATTAAACTTCTTATTGCATTTGTGTGTGAGTGTACTTTTCTTCGTTTTCTTTTTTTTCAATCAACCTTGTTAATAGAGTTACAATTTTAGAACAATCTTTAGAAATAATAAAATACTTCAAAAGTTAACAATTTAGAAATATTGATGAAGTCTCGAGACTTTAAAACTGGAGATGTCTTTGCTGTGATTATTTGAAGCACTTGTCTAACTTTTCACCGAACCCACAACAAACGTTTTCGAAAATTCTCGGCATCTCCACTTTCCATGAATTGTGAAGTATCCCTGTAAATCGAGGCAGAATTCAATCCCTTCATTTCAAAGTTCAAGAGGCATAAGTGACCAGAATTTGTCGAAGTGTGTTCGAATTGTTTTGGTGCTGGCTTTAACTCGCATGTGGTCGATAGTCATGGGATCTGTGCATTCTCTACAACTTAGAAAAAAGTGAAATTTGTGCGAATGCTTAGGCATGGATAACTAATGGACTCATGGACACTTTTCTTGGGGAGTGAATCATATGATCCGTTTTTTGTGTTATTTTTGTTGATTTCCTCACATTCTGGCTCAGTTGTTGTGTAGCTTTCGTCCACCTTTCGAGAATTTCCATCTCCAGTTCCGAATCGTTTGCTGCTGGAACTATGTGGATTTGACAAGGGAAATAGCCAACCTGTTCGATCGGAGACAAGAGGCGGCACCACAGTTGTAAGGCCGCAGATGCAGGCTTCCAACAGATCATGCTTCCAACTGCCAGAAAAGTGAACGTCGTCTCATGGTAGAGTTCCCTATCACTTCACCTCACCTCGTGAACTACGATGGACAGCCTTCACAAACTTTGGGGCGTCTGCGGCGTATTGGAGCATATCCGTCCACACGAACACCTTCCAGTTTCCTGCACATACCGTATTTCGGGGCGTTTATGATACTCCCCTTCCCTTTGTGCAATTCCAAGATGGTACTCCTCCCATGTTGTGACACCATGCGGCAGAGCCAGTCCTGGACCAGGCATAGAGCTAGGAACAAGTCAGATAAGCTAGTGCTCGAGCTTGCACGGTGAAAAAGATTGTATACTTCCTTCGCTTGTTCACAGAGTTCATTACAACGACTCATGATACATTTTGCGCAAGGAAAATAGAACAAAATTTCTTACTTGAATTGGCAAGAAAAATTTGTGCTCGTCTTTCAGCTCCTCCTCCTCGTACAACTGGTCGGAGAAGTAGATTTGCCGGATGCGGCAATTCGCATTGATTGTCACACGTATCGTTTCAATGTATTTTGTGCCGTATTGACTTCGGACTAACTCAGCAAGGTCGACTTGGATCATATTCCAACCCTCAGCTAATTGCAATGGAATTATAGTTGATGTCATTCCATAACTTCGTATTGTGTTCTACAACCCAATCAAATGAGAGAGAGGGAGAGAGAGAGAGCAAAGCAAAGCAAAGCAAAGCAAAAAATGGATAACTAACTAAATGAATACTACCCACAAATTTAGTACATGAATAAGCAAATTTTAGGGCTCCTGCAACCCTGGGTCGCGATCCAAGCAGGAGAACATTCTCAAGCAATCGAGTTGCGGAGAGAGGAAGTAGGGAGGATGAACCTGGGTGTTGGTGAATCGAAAAACGCGCTTGACACCGGAATCATCCAGCACCTCCACTTGGTACGAGTAGAAAAAGCGAAGGTGCTTGACGACGAGGACGAAGACGGGCAAGGTGATGGCGAGATGGAGGTGGGCGGTGCGAGATGATGGAGCAGGGCAGGTGATGGAGGTGGTCCTGCCATCGCCCCGCACCTCCACCACCGCTGCCTGCAGATCGTCGTCGTGCACCATTTGCACACTCCCCCATTCCCCCTTCTTCTCCTCCTCCTCCTCGCTCTGCCTCTTCTTCTGTTTCACTGCAACAAAACCAAAAAACACACACACCCCCCCCCCAATGCATTCATCCATTAGTCCATCCATCAACAATACATCCATTTGCAATGGTTTCATCCATCCATGGTTCCATTCATCTATGTGTAGTTCCATCCATCCATCATCTACACCCTTTCGTGTAACTCTCTTTGAGTGAGCATGTGATATAACCATGCAAGTTGTTGTTGTTTATAGAGTTGAGGATGCTGATTATTTATTGTGTGTGAGTTGGACGAGCTGGTAGATGATGATTCCAAGGAAGATAATAATACAAAATAATAATAATAGTAATAATAATACCTTTAGCGTCCCATATCTGTAGAGGCTTGGTCCTGTCACATGTGTTGCAACTTAGGATTCATTGCACACCAGTTCTGAGTATTCTAGTGAAAAATTCATATCGAGCTTTCAAAGTGTTATTAATTACCAGTGTTTGTATTTTGACATGGACACTCTACTATTATCAACACATGATTGTTGAAAATTCTTACTATGCAAACATTAGGCTTCAAAATGGAATTATTGCTTAAATATAGACATGTCTATGGTATTAAAGTAATTGTTATATGTATATATATATATATATATATAATGAGAGAGAGAGAGATCACCTTGGAAGAGCATACAATATTGAAATAAAATCCGTTTGAAACTCGTTTTGGAACATATTGAGAATTCAATATATAGCACCAATCATGCATAAACTTTCAACATGCACTACCAAAATTTCCAATTGTTACTTTTTCAATTTGTTTGCTTGTTTATATCAGGTGCACATGATTGTTAACTTTCTTATAATTCATGAAGGTTCAAATTCAGGTTCAATGTGTAAACAGTTTTGGAAATAATAATCATTACCATACTGGTTGTGCATTTTGTTATAAATCATAATATTTAGAATTCAATAAAATGAAATATAGAACCTCAAAAGAATAAAACACTTTTAAAAAATAATCTTCTATTGCACTTTGTACATTCAACATCAAAAATGTTGAGTCTGTGTAATTATTTCAAGATTAACATTTGAACTAAATTGATTTAATAGCCAAGGTGTATGTCAATAGTTGTGTCTCTTTGTGATTTTTATTTATTTAAAAAAAAATTATAGTAGAATTGCCTCTTCAACTTGAATTCTTGTCATAGAGGCATCATTGTCATCCAAGTTTTATCAAATAAAAATTCTAAAGCTGTGCAAATATCAAAATATTATTATGTAGATATAAAAATTGTTTCTATGAATGTGTAAGTGGGTGTATGTGTCCATATATATATATATATATATATATATATTCATCCGCACATATAACACTTTATTTCTAAATTTTCAATTATGAATACATGTATGCAATATTTTTGTCTATCAACAATAATTTTGATATTTTAAATTAAACGTACTTATAACATTATCTCTCTCTCTATATATATATATGATGATTTATCAGTGGTCTAATTTCATGCAAACATCTAAATATTCATCAAGTCATTTCTCAACCTCTTATGATTTGATATATTGACATGTATTTTGATATTTGCAGAAGATTTATATGTTTATTGATTTGCAATGTAAATGACATCATACTTCCATTGAATAAATTACAATAGCAACAGTTAGAGCTCAATATCTCCAATGAATTCTATATACTATCATCTACAAATCTAATCTACACCATTTCAGGCTTCCTTTTCTATTACAGTAGTACTTCATTATATTCATAATTGTTTTTAATAATATGTTTCATATTTATTTTCAAGTTTTATGGTATCTTTTTTGATAATGCAGTACTAAATTATTAAAATAATATTTGAATTGCATGTGTATTCTACATACTCACAAACATGCATTCATCTGAAGTGAACCAACTTGTATTTGAATTGATTTTCAAAATCTCAACCTTAATCGATAACCCTATGTACATATTAACTGTAAAGTACTTGTTATTTAGGACGTTTTATAAATTAAAAAGAAAAACTGGAACTTGAAATTTTAAATGTATCTGTACAACACAGGTTTCGAAAAAACATCAACAATCATATATATATATATATATATATACCATTCAAGCTCTTTAATGAATTCAGAGCTAATCATCTTACGTGGAATTTATTTATGATTTTTGTGTAGTTGAATGTTTAATTTTTTTTTCACATTAATGTACACACTTACGCATATATATATATATATATATATGTGTGTGTGTGTGTGTGTGTTGTTCATAGCGATGCATGGCCCAACAATCTAATTATAGTCCAGAAACATTAAAAGTTCTTAATGTCTCCAACGCCTGTGTCGTATATGAAGGAACCCGTTCATCCACAGCGCACATTCACTGGGCTTCATTGTCCACGAGTGCCCTAATCGCCGTGTGAGGTTTTCTAGGTCGACCCACCTGCCTGCTGCGTCGCCATATAATCCTAGACTCGTCTGCTCTTTAAGTAGTGTGTGCGATTCTAGGATTTCGTGGGGGTGATCAATGTATCCGTTTGAGTGTTGCGTTTAGTTTACGGCTTACTACTTTGTGCTATGAAACGAAACCAAGATCCTGCCCCGTTGCATCCCGAAGTTTATCGTAACCAGCTTCTCAGTTGTGAGCATGCTTCATGGATTCTCTTTTTGTTTTTGAGGACCTTCCCTCTTCTCGCTTCGGCTATGTATCGCCCGCAGGGTTTACCGTTGCACCACTCCCGTTGCTAGGAAATAGTTTAGCTTTCTTATCTCGGCTTTGTTTCTTAAACTTTGTACTTGGTATGCTTGCGTCGTTGAGGTATGTAGCGTCTTACATGTGATCAGGGCGAGTGTACATGATGCGAACCAACTATGTATCCTATGCACAGTGAGGATTAAACAAACGAGCTTTTTAAATCTGATGCATCCGCCCTACTTTCTAGGTCTGTTATGTGATTGGTAGTGTTCCGCAATACTCTCTTTGCATGGAAGCATTCGGTAATAGTTCGAAAGGCCTCTGGTATCTGGTGTTGCATGAGCAAGCCTCGAGCCTGTAATGATGCAACGCCTCGTAAAGGTTGCCGATATTTATTCGGTCAGGCGCGACGTGGGCTGGGCTGTCCCTTTACCATTACTTTTGTCCTGTCCATATTTGAACTGTGTCGTGTCTTTATTCGGTCTGGGTTTTCCGACTTGTATCGAGTTCTGTAGTCTGATGGTCTGAAGTTCAGAAATTCAGTCGCCCATCGAGAATGTACTGTCCTAGTCGTAAGTTGAGTTTTGAATGTGATGAGGAAGAATTGTCGCCCCAGTCCTATGTGAGTTTACAAGCTCCGTGAGGATTGACTTTTCAATAATCTGATTCGTTATTGTATGATACCATTCACCCTGAGGGCCCGTGGGTACAACTGTATCCGGAAACTTCTGGATGTTGTGATGTTCAAACTAATACCAAAGGTTTTCTTTGTTTTTGTGAAGCTTGATTATAAAACTTCCTGCAGGCTACAGGAGGATTCTGTGTAACACTTTCTTGGTTAATCAGTTCCATCATCCGCCTTCGTTTGAAGGACCAACCCTGGAGATGAATCTTTGTTCAGAACACGTTTACTTTTTTGAAGTGCACCACTACTCGTAGAATTGAAACCGAAACAACTATTGACTGAAGAATTTGTGAATTTTTCTACCGTTTGTTAAGAAGAATATTCCACTAAAAAAACAACTTTCTCCAGAGAAATTTGCACTAAGTTAGTTTTGGAAGAGGTACAATTGCCATCCATTCACGACAATGTATTTCAATCTTAACGAACAGTTTCGTTACGATAATAGATAATGTATTTCAATCGTAGTGTCCCACTTGGGTAGAACCTATGTATTCATCCAGATTATTTTTCTTTCTATTGCACCCTTTTCACTTTCATTAACATGTTAATTCTAAAGTAAGTCACTGATCTTGTATGCTAGTTTACATACATACATATGTATGTATGTATTAAAATTTACATATTTACTGTTAATTTGTACTTTGTGGTACATTATTTTGTCAAATATATATGTGTACAATTTTATAATGACCTCAAACATACTATAATCCTTTTTATGATAGTCAATGAATTATATTTACTTGCACAATCTCGTTATTTTCAATTCAATTACACTTACTATAAACTACATAATTCATTGTTATGCTATTTTAGTCATATTATGAATATGCAAATTTTCTTTTCACATGTATACAGGGAAAACTTTTCGAACTGATCAAAACCTGTCCAATTCTATGAATAAGTATAAATATCTTACAATGCAGATTGTTGCTTGGGTTCAAAAATAATATTTCAGAGAAATCCACCACTGTTTTGTATTATGCAGCACATCAAATAATAACACTCCGTAAATTGAAGAAATGAAAAGAAATTAACTAATTTCATCAGTACAATGTAACAACATATTTCACCAAGACTAAAAATAGATTAATAAGCACAAAAAATTGATCATAATTTGGAAATTACAGACGTTTATTGAAAATGTGCATGTAACTATCAAAATGATGTAGGAAAGGAATGTGAATCGAACCAACATATTCTCATGATTTAATTTGAGATAAAAGATTCAAACCTATGTGTTTAGGAGAAAAGCACAATATCATTTATTTTTGAGGAATATTTATTATAATTTGATTTGATGAAAAACGTTTCGGTGAATACTATAATTTATTTTTCTTTAGTTTAATCACTACAATCATCACGAGATGATCTAATATTATAATCTATTTTTTTAGTTTTTGGCAATGCCTGTAGATACATCTACATAAAGAAGTGCAGCTCAAGTTTGTAATTATTTTTCAATAAAAACATATTTTGGGTTTATTCACATCTTATCATTAGAATCGAAATTAATTCTTCAATTTTTTTTATAGAAATTAACTTGAAAATGGCATGTTATTGCAACTCCATTCAAAATCTCCATGTACATACATGCAGATACAGACACACAATATTATATAATTACGTATTTACACGAACAAATATTGTTTTTATTCTTGTACTGCCCGTAAACTCGAGAACTCTGTGGTCAGCGTCTATATGGCTGCCCGCGTTCGCCATGCCGAAGGGAACAGAAGGGGATGCCAAAGGGAACAACAGGCGGCTTGGTGCTCGTAAAACCCTAAACCCCCCTAAGCCCTAATCGTGTCCCCTGCATTGCTCCCTCCTCCTTAACTGAGCTTTAGGCCTTCTCGACATCCCCTCTGTGGCTCTCTCATTCCGTTTTCGCAGCCATCGTTCCACCCTTCCTTATTTCCCTCCCTCCATTGCTTGCCGTAGCGGTGTCCACCAAGTTGCGGCAACTATGAGGCCGCCATTGACTAGAGGAGGCGGGGGCTTCAGAGGTGGTCGGGGCGATGGCGGAGGTCGTGGTGGAGGCCGTGGCTTCGGAGGAGGCCGTGGGGGACGAGGTGGTGACAGAGGCGGACGAGGGATGCGCGGAGGTGGCCGCGGTGCTCCTCGAGGAGGTCGTGGAGGAGGCCGTGGAGGAGGTCGTGGTGGTGGCATGAAGGGAGGAGCCAAGGTTATCATCGAACCTCATAGACACGCGGGTGTGTTCGTTGCAAAAGCCAAGGAGGATGCGCTCGTGACGAAGAACCTCGTCCCCGGAGAGAGTGTTTATGGAGAGAAGAGAATATCCGTCGACAATGAGGATGGAACCAAGACGGAGTACCGAGTGTGGAATCCTTTCCGGTCGAAGCTCGCTGCGGCGATATTGGGTGGTGTGGACAACATCTGGATTAAGCCTGGAGCTCACGTGCTTTACCTTGGGGCTGCCTCTGGAACGACTGTGTCTCATGTATCTGATGTTGTTGGGCCGTCCGGTATTGTGTACGCCGTGGAATTCTCTCACCGCAGTGGGCGTGATCTTGTTAACATGGCTAAGAAGCGTACTAATGTTATCCCCATTATCGAAGATGCTAGGCATCCGATGAAGTACCGCATGTTGGTCGGTATGGTGGATGTTATTTTTGCTGATGTAGCGCAGCCTGATCAGGCCCGTATCGTGGCAATCAATGCTCACAACTTTTTGAAGAATGGTGGGCATTTTGTTATCTCAATCAAGGCAAACTGTATCGACTCAACGGTACCTGCTGAGGCTGTGTTTGCCGCGGAGGTGAAGAAATTGCAAAAGGAACAATTCAAGCCCGCTGAACAAGTCACACTCGAACCATTCGAGCGTGATCATGCCTGTGTGGTTGGTACTTACCGTGCACCGAAGAAGGCCAAGCCTGCTGCCGGTTCATAGTCGTTAGGTATCGTCAATCTCAGTCTCTTTTCTTTTTATTCCCCTCCGAATGCTAGGTTGTATGTGGTTGATGAATGCTAGAATGGAGTACTTCTTCCAAATGTGGAATACATGTCCATTCGATGCTGAAACCATTGCTCGTAGTTGCGGGTCCACTTTTGTTCTATATTTTGGAACCTATAGTTTTTACTAGAACGTCAGATCTTGTTTAGCGAAGGGAGAACTGCAGATTTTCGGCTGGGTTGCCTGTGTTAGTTATAGTTCTAACCGTAAGTCCACGTCGGAGGAGGCTGATGAATGATGACGATGTATAGGCCTATCTGAATGAGATTTATAGATTGATGCCTCCTGGATGTATTTGTTTGGAATGTGGACGTCATTCATGCTGTAGTTAGTCTGTTCAAGAGATTGGTGTAAGATGTCTTGGTGTTCTAAGGAGAGTTGAGACATTTTTTAGCCCTAATCAATAGTATGTCAGCGTGCTGAATTTTGATTAATTGCAACGATTGTTATTTTCTAATACTGTCGAAGTTGGAATCCAGATAGTACTGATGCCGTCAGAGCTGACTTGTGCTCTGGATGTGCACGTTGTTATTGTTATGATAGTTGCGTTTATGTTTTCTCATCATTAGGTTAGTAAATGAATGCTGCGCTGCATAATCAAAGCTCGATAACTCGCAAGGATCCTGGCCTACGATGAGCTAGACCGTGCAGCAACTGATGACCAGCTTTTATCTAGAAATCAGTATCTTTTGACAGTAGGGTAGTGAGAGATACATGGGATGTGGATATCTCCTGGAATACCTATGTTAGATTTGAAGAATACAAGGTTTACGAGGAAAAACTGCATCATCCAGAAGTTTTGTAGTTGATTTGTACTCTGCATTAAAGAAATATGCAAGTCATTCCATTTCATGTACACTGCAGGAGCCTATGTTAGTGAATAACAATGTTTTCCCTCACCCTCACATGTCCTACTTTATATTAATTTAAATGCTGTCAGTTGAAGCCGTACCCTCAGTGTTTAAACTCGTTCACTTTCGGTAGTTCGCAATCAAATTCTCCTTCAGTTGAAGCCGTACTCTCAGTGTTTCAACTCGTTCATTGGCCTGTTCTTTGCCGCTTAGAAAGGCTTTCTCTCAGTAATCACTGCAATTAACAGTATTCGCAAGGCAGATATGATAATAGTATAATATGTGTTTATATGAATTATAAAAATAAATATAGAAGTTCAAAATAGAACTGCAATAGAATAAAATATGCTATATGCATACTACTATTGATATTGATTGTATGTATGGATATATAGTCCAAGTAGTTATTGCCTCTTTAAATAAACTTTGATACAATAAAGACTATTTGAATGTAAGATTGCAGCTTGCTTGGATTACAAATGGATGTCAATTAATAGAAATAAAAAATTCCACCATAAGAAGCAATTCTATATAAAAAGAATTTGAGGAGAAAAGTCAAAGAAATTTATTTCTTTGTATCCACATTTTTTTTAATTTAATTTTAGATTTTAGATCCAATATTTTATTTGTGATTTGGAGTAATTGACCAAATTGAATCTTGTATCTAAGTGTCAAGGACAAGAACTTGATAAAAAAAAATAAACAAGTGAGACCTTTTTCAAAGAAAGATGACAAAATAGAAATAATTAAATATGTATATTAAGAAAGAATGGAATGGCTATTGCCAAAAGACAAGAAAACCACAGATACTTGAAACTAGACTAGAAGTAAGAAAGAATTGACAAGACTGAAGAAGGCTTCACTCTTGCCTCTATATATACTATCTACCTAGGAGCTACGTGGCGACATTCCATAGGACCTCCAAAAACATATTGATTTTCCACAACACGTATATTAACTTGCAAGGCAAGTTTTCTATGTAGGCGCCACATAATTAGCTTGTTTCGCAAGCTACTAACATGTGTAGCACATGGTTAACTTGTTGACTAAGTTTTTAAGCTATCAATCAAGTGTAAATACATGTAAAGTCAAAGCAACATCTATGAAGTTTCTAGGAAGATTCTCTAGAAGATATTATGAAATTAATCTACTTTTGTTTACTTCTACCTATTCATATCACCTAGGTAACAATTATAGTAAATATATGTTTGTGACATTACCCCCCTTTTTTAGAGAGGAGTTCAACGAGGATCGATAATCACATGTCAAGAAATTCTAAGATGCGGAAAATTATATTTGCTACATACTCTGATCTTTGTTCTCTTTGAAGATGATTGATAGGGCCTCTCAACCATCGATAGTGTCCCATACCAAGGCGGGAAGACCACCCAATTATTTGATTGTTGTTGAGGCCTTCATAACTTCCTTCAAATAAAACTTTTAAAACACCGTTATGTGTTGTTCCTACCTCTAGTAAAATCACCAAATATTGGGAGTCCCTTCCAACATCGTGATACCAAACGCGTTGTATCTTACCATCTATTTGAGGGAGAATATGTCATTCTTGAGGATCTTCATCTCAATTACGTCATCTTGAAGATTGTAACAATCATAATGTCTTGTTCGACAAGTCAACAAACGAATGCTCTTGAGTCAAATCCGCTCGTTATTTGTTCTCCATCTCCTCAACGTCACAACCAAAAAGAAGCTATAAACAAGAATTGAAAGTAGAATGTTATCTTACCTAGATCTTGTTTCTTTTATAAAGAAGGTTTTCGTCTTGATTTTGATGGATGTTGTCGATGAAAAGCCTCCATCGCCTTTGTTGCATTTGTAAGATTCTTTACTAGCTCCTATGTGCATTCACTAATATCATATCCGCGCCAATGGAGAAGATATTCTAATTTATTTTGGCGCCGCCTTGAATTTAGGATTTCTTCTACTTTGAACTCTTCATTATTATCTACTTCTATAGGAGGAGGTGGAGCTTGTCTTCTTCTTGGTATGTCCATTGTCTTGTATGATTCAAGAAGAGACACCTAAAATATTCGATGGATTTTCATTGATTTCGGAAAATGATATGCAGCTGGATTAATTTGTATAGAAATAGAAAATAGTCCAAGCCTTCGATAGTCCAAGTTGTCACAAGGATGAGTGGTCTTGATATTGCGACAAAGTAACCATACCTTGTCACCCATGTGGAATGGTGGTTGTTCCTTTCAATAGACATCCGCATTGAACTTTAGTTGTTCTTGAGCTTCTTTTAACTACGCCTTCATTGTTGCATGTAGCTCTGACAAATGATTTGACAAATCTTCCGCTGTAGGATTATTAGCTTTTGAAAAGTCAAAAGTATCAAGTTGTAGATGATAACCATAATTGGCAAAGAAAGATGTTTGTTTTGTAGAAGAATGTACCATATTATTATAAGCAAATTTTACCAATGGTAATAGAGTTGTCCAATCATCTTGTTGGTAGTTGATCGTACATTTTAAATATTGCTCCAAAACTTGAGTAACATGCTCCATTTGTCCATCAGTTTGAGGATGTAATGCTGAAGATAGTTTTATATCTACTTTTAGAAGCTTCAAAAGAGTCAACCAAAATCTTAATACAAACTGAGTTCTCTTATATGCTATAATATCCTTGGATAATCGATAATAGCGATAAATATTATCAAAAAAGAGCTTAGATGTTTCTTGACGTGTGATAGATTTGATACATGGTACAAGATCTGCCATCTTGGTAAAATGATCTACTATCATGAATACAGAGTCATAAGAACCTGAGATTGGAAGATCCATGATGAAATCCATAGAAACAGAAGACCATGGTTGTTTTGGAATGGATAATGGCTGAAGAAGTCCATAAAGTTGATGATGAGGAGTTTTTGATCTTGAGCAAATATCACAAGATTGTACAAAATCTTTGAATGCCTTTTACATTTGAGGCCACCAAAAATCCCTGGATATTAGTTCCAAAGTTTTATTGTACCCAAAATATCATGGTACTGGAAAGTCATGACGAGCTTGAAGAATACGTAATCGAGCTTCATCTTCTAGAACATATAGGCGTCCTTCAAAATATAGTAGATTGTTCTTGAATTCAAACTTGGAAGTATCATGAGACTTTGAAGGATTTCCCTTAATATCACAAATAAGAGGATTAGAAGACATACTTGACTAAACTTGCTTAATAAAAGTTGAATCAATAGTTAGTATTGATTTCATTACTCGAAGATGAAGATGCTTTGGCTTCAAGAAAATTGTTCGATGTTGATCAAAAGGAGCATCTCCTTCCTTTGGTACAAGATACAATCATCTAGAGAGTGCATCTGATAAACCTTGTTGTTTTCCTGGTTAATAAGTGATCTTGAATTTGAAACTTGGCAAAGACATACTCCAATGAACTTGGCAATGATTCAAAATACGTGCTGATATTAAATATTCAAGGTTCTTATGATCCGTATATACGGTGTCTAGATTAGGAGCACCTTCTAGATAATGGCGCCATTCTTGAAACGAATCTATGATAGCAAGAAGTTTTTTGTCGTGGATCTTGTAGTTGATCTCAGCTGCTAAAATTTTTTTGGAATGAAAAGCTATTGGGTGAAGTTTATCATCTGTTCCCATTTATGACAATACGGTACCATAAGCAAAGTTTGATGTGTCTGTTTCCATGAAAAATGGCTTAGAAAAATTGATGCGATATAAGTTTGGTACAGAAAGAAAGGCTGTCTTCAAAGCTTCAAATGCTACTTCCACGTCTTGATTCTGTTGAAGTTTGTCTTTACAAGTTAAATGTGTAAGTAGAGCTGCAACTTGATAGAATTCTTTGATGAAGATCCAATAGTAGTTGACAAATCCCAAAAAGTATTGAACATCTCTTACCATTCTTGAGATCTTCCAATCCATAATAGCTTGAACTTTCTTAGGATCCATCATAAGTCCATCATTTGAAATGATGCATCCTAAGAAGTCAACTTGAGTAGTATGAATTACACACTTTTCTATCTTAGTATAGAGCCTCACTTCTCTTAATTTTATAATATACGGCAAACATGAAGTTCATGTTCTTTTATGTTCTTAGAATAGATTAAGATATTATCTAAGTAACAGACAACAAAATCATCTAAAAACTCCCAAAACACATCATTCATTAAATATTGGAATGTTGTTGGTGCATTTGTAAGTCCAAAAGGCATGACGTTGTATTCGAAATGTCCATATCTTGTTCAAAATGCAATCTTCTATTCATCTCCTTCTTTAATGCACACTAGATTGTATGTTCTTCGTAGATCTATTTTTGTATAGATCTAAGCTTGATTTAACTCATCAAGGAGTCCAAATATCAAAGATAGTGGATACTTATTTTTTATAGTGATTTTGTTGAGTCCTCGATAATTGACACACATCTGCAATGATCTTTCTTTTTTCTTCACAAATAAAATTGGAGCTCCTATTGGAGATTTGGAATAGCGTATGAAGTTCTTGGCCAGATTCTCTTCAATACACTCCTTGAGTTCAACCAACTCATTTTGTGATAAATTATAGATTCGTCCAAATGGCGGTTGTACTCCTTCTTGAAGGTCAATTGAGTAGTCATAAGAACGATACTCTGGAAGAGCATCTGTATTTTTCTTCTCAAATATATCTTAAAAATCTTGATATTGGCTTGGAATGCCACTTGAAGTCTTTCCACGAGTAAAAACAAGTGCCGCATAAATGACACAAGGTGATCTTTCTTTTGTAGCATGTAAGAAAGCTCTTGTACTTACAAATATAGATTTAATTATACTAGACTTATGACTTTCTACTTGATTAACTACCTTTTTAGTTATATTTTTAGAAAAATCAAGACTATGAGAAGTCCAATCTATTTTAGGGTTATATTTTTTTAGCCATGATAAACTTAAAATGACTGGATTAGAGGGAGATCCAATGATATTAAATATTATAAAGCTACTATGATTATTAGTTATTACTTCTATAAGAAAGGTTTCATGAATAACATCTTCCGAAGACAATGGATGACCATCTATGACTTCTACATGA